ATATTACAGCTTTAATGGGTCTGTTTCTGCAGAAATCACAAACCAGTCAGAGCGAATTTCATTGGTTGAAAACAGTCAGAAACATTCAGAAAACTAGTTTCAACTAATGAAATTCACTCTGACTTGTTTGTGATTTCTGCAGAATAACTGACCTTATATTGAAATAAATAAATCCTTTCATTTGTTTATTTGCTGAAGTGGACTTTTTTCCTATTGTTTCCCACTGCAGAAAAGAGGAAATTTATTATGAATTTGATACATGCAGGTAGTTTGATGGCAAAAGGGAGATTTTCGCAATCGGGTTATAGTGGCACTGACTGGGATGATGTCATGATGTCAAATCTCTGTCTGACCCTGATGCTTGTGTATCCAAATTTTACGAAATATTCTATGGGTATTTGGATGAAACAGTTCCGTTAAAGGTAACAAAAGCTAGTAGTGGTAGGCAGCGCCTCGGGTAGGCGAAAATTTCCGCAATGGATCTCTCCTGATCTTATTGTTAAAAAAATTAGACTAAAAAATAAATAAGGTACCTGAACAACTCGAATTTGCAAGTTGGCACCAAGAAAATCTCGAAAAATATGTGTGTTTTCAATATTCCAATATCTAATTGATTTTCTAATCAAACATCTATTTATAATTTTAGGTTCTATGTTATGTTTAAAAGTTCACATAATGGGTTTTCTAATAATTGATTTTTCTAGTTTTTAGGCAATTTCCTAATATCATGAGAATGTCAATAGAAAAATCATTGTTTTTCTATCATAGATTTTTCAGTCTTCAGAGCTTCAAAATGGTATTTAGATGGAATCGCTAGCGTTGGTTTTTGAGAAAATCGAGTTTGAAGTTTTAGACAAAATGTCGACTAAATTTCAACTTTCAAGCTCAAGATCTTGGAAACCCCAAAAGTTACATAAACCAATTTTGCACAGCCTTTTATAGAATTTAATGCTCTTTCCAATGATACATAGTTATTATTAATTTGCTCAAAAATAATGGAAGATATATGCAATTTATTCATGAGCGGGTCAAGATTTCAAATGAGAATAATGAGATTTCCTTTTGGATTTTTTCTCTCATCGAAATTTCTAAATGTAATTAATGTTAGACTTGTTTCTGACTAATTCGGACTCGCTCTATCGATTTCTAAAATCGAAATTAAGAAAAATCCAAAAATAGAAATTTTCAATTTTTTGCACTTTTTTCAGTTTTTTCCAAGGGTGTCTATTTCGATTTTTATTTGGAAATCTTCAATCTTAAATATCTCAATAACCAAAAGCGAAACTGGAATTGTAGCTCTTGAAAAAGGCTTTCAGATGGTATGTAGCTGAAATCGCTAGCATTTATGGTTCTTGAGAAAATCGAGTTTAAAATTTTGGACAAAATTTTAACTAAATTTCCACTTTGAGGCTCAATAGCTTGGAAACTTTACAAGCTACAAAAACAAATTTTACACGGGCTTATAGAGAATTTAATGCTCTTTTCAATGATGTATAGTTTTATTAATTTGCTCAAATATAATTGAAGAGATAAGCAATTATTCATGAGCATGTCAAGATTTCAAAAAATGTCCACAGCCAAAAATGAGATTTCCTTTTGGATTTTTTTTCTCATTGAAATTTCCAAATGTAATTGATGTTAGAGTTGTTTCTGACTAATTTGGACTCGCTCTATCGATTTCTAAAGTCAAAATTGAGAAAAAAATCAAAAATAGACATTTTCAATTTTTTGCACTTTTTTCTAAGGGTAGGTAGGTATTTACCTACCTACCCCGTTTGGATTTTTATTTGGAAATCTTGAATCTCAAATATGGCGGTAACCAAAAGCGGTACTGGAACAGAAATTGTAGCCCTTGATAAGGGCTATTTAATTGAAATCGCTAACATTTACGGTTTTTGAGAAAATCGAGTTTGAAGTTTTGGATACAAGACTAGATTAAGTTTCAACTTTGAAGCTCAATATCTTTAAAACTCTATAAGCTACCTACAAAACCCAATTTTCCACAGGTATTATAGATAATTTATTGCATTTTTCAATGATGTATAGTTATTATTAATTTGCTCAAAAATAATCGAAGAACAAATGAGAAACCTCATAGTTATTTTAGAACAATTAGAAATCAATTTAGAACTGAAAACCTTTTAGAACTCGATTGAACCATTTTGGAGTCGAATAGGGCTCTAAAATACTTAAAAATCTGTCAGAAAAATTTAGAAGTTACTGAAAAACTTCTATAAAATGCTCCAGAACTCTTCAAGCCAAGTTAGAATACTTAAAAAGAGAGCCTAGCCTGGAATAGTAGACAAAAATTGAGCCACTTTGTATACGATTTTCAGATTCTAGGCTTTACGCAGAATCTTGACGGTACCTACTCTATACAGTTTTCTGCTTTGTTGGAAAAAAGCTAAAATAAACTTAAAAAAAAAAATTAATATTCACTAATTTGACCCTGTTTAGCTAGAAACAGGAGATTCACACTTGTCGTCGGGGTACTATTCTACTACGTAGTTAGTTTTTTTGCATGTCTCACTTCTCACATTCTCATATTTATAACCTTATCAGTTTACCTTTTTTTTTTGGGGTTGGCGGGGGTTTGAAATTCTGATTTCTTTGTCGGACAAGACAACGGGATTTAGTCAAGTACCTTCAGTCGCGACCGACGATCAATGATTTTTCTCACACATGTTAAAATTTTAATTTTCGGCCTCTATTTTCCGATTATCGTGTCGTGTGCCCAGTGTACCAATAGCTACTGAATTTTGGTGAGTGGTACCAACAATTATTTTTTGGTAATTGGGATTTCTGGATTTCTTCAATTTTGAATGAACAACTTTTGATTTTTCTGATAAAATTTCCAATTTTTGAGTCTGCGGAACAATCCAGAATTTTCTTATTTAATGTCTTTTTATTTAAATACTTATTGGGCAGATGGTAAGTTTTATAGAAGAGTACAGGTCCAGGAACTAGAACTTTTAATGTCAGAAAAAGAAGTTATCCAGAAAATCTTACGCGCCTATTTTCATCATTATTTTTTTTTTTGACTTGGTTTTCCAAAAGTGCGCAGGAAAATTCTGGATGTAGGTGCTGGCTGTAAGAGAATGCTGTGTACTGTTTGAAAAAATGCTGTATGTACTATTATAATAGAATGCTGGAGTGTCTCAAAAAAATTGATTTTTGTCCAGTCTTTAATTGAATGGCTGTTTAAGCCACGTACTTTAAATCCATAGCTACAAATGTTAGCTACTGTCACTGGAAATCATCCAAAGATGTTTTTGTGTAATGCTCCAAATGTCTTAAAAGTGTCTCAAAATAAGTCCTAATTATCGGAAATTTTTATCCACTACCACTGGCAACAACCCATAGCTAACCTAACACAACTAACCCAAATCAACACGTCTAACCTAAACTTTGGGTAATTGATAATGGTAGTCCACTAACATTTTTAGCTATTTTCAATAAGAAGCGGTGCATATTATTAGACAAAAAATACTCTTTAGCTGATTGCTAGAGAGACATGAAGCTATCCATCAGTTGTAGCTATATTTATTAAAAAGACAATTTAAAAGTATTTAATTTTTTGAGGCACTCATGGAGGTGTTGGGTCCACTTTTGGAAAGCTAGTCATTATAGGATTTATGATAATTTGGTCAATAGTTGATTATAAGGGTAGGCCTAATAATAGTCCCAGGAGCCAAGTTAATTATCTGGAAAAATCTGGACAATTTGGAACATAAACTGAAACTCTGTGCGTTAACATGCTCTTTATGTTTGATATATGAGCATTTTCTTTACATTTATTAACAAAAACATAACTTATTAGAACTGGACTTTCATTTTTCAAATGCCTGGATTATGCCTCAGGTTTTCAGGTAAACAAATAAATTAAGTACAGGGGGTGATCCACTATAAACAGTAAATTGAACTTCTGTTGATGTTGAAGTTTTATAAATAACTTTGAAGTAGTATTGAGGTTTTTTTAATGCTCTTTCCATGTTATTAGCACATTTTAATTGATTTGAGTCATCAAACTACAAATCCATGAACCATTTTTCTGCCGTTGTATTATTTTTTTTTTCATGTGAAACCCTCTGTGAACAAACAAAGTCCAGAAGTCATCTGAGCCTAATCAAATTCACTTCTGGTGAAAATTGCTGGACGGATTTTTGAGAGGTACATATTCATTTGGAAATTTTAGCATGATGAACTCTTAACTTTCCCATTTTTCTCCTGAAAGTTTCATAATTTTATCTTTTTTCCAGAAAAAAAAAAATGAAATCCAAAGAGGTTGCATTTTTTGCTTAATTTAGATTTTGCAAGTTGATTTTCATTAATTTCCCATTTTGTTATTTTTCACTGGAAAAGTTTGAAATTTTATAGTATCATGACCTCCTAATTTTCCAGTTTTTCTCCTGAAAGTTTCATAATTTTTCTTTCAGTGGTTTTTGTAAGCCACAACTAGTAAGAGATGCACCATGAATCAAGAATTAGAAAATCTCCCGGATATCTTTGACGATTATGTGGAAAAATAAACCTGAAAAGCATGTGATACTTTTGATATCTTCTGTAGTTTTATGTTTATCTGTAATAATTATCATGTCTTCGTCATTAGTTGTTCTTCATTTTCGAATATCTTGTATAGTTCTTGTTTATTAAAGCCTAATTTCTAAATGTAATTCAGTATATCATAACATCCCTCTAACATTTTCTTCAATGAAAAAATGAAACGTCCCTCAATGTTGTTTTTTGGAGAAGTATATGGTCATCCATTTGTGCTAAATACAAGAGCATCTAAAGAAGTTTATAAAATTCCTCGCCTTCAAAGTTAGTCCTTAGTCAAACAGTCCTTACAATATCCATGTCAGTTTCAGTTTCCTATGCAAAGTTCTCCAATTATTGTAAATTTACTGCAGAAATATTAATTCGCTTCTTCTATAACGCATTAAGAATCTGTATCGACATCAAGTCCTCAACGACAATAACATAAAACCACACACAACAAAAACAATTACAATGGTTTTTTTATTTCTCAATACTCGAACTATTCATTTTATATAAATTAATACAATCATCTGACCACAGGTTTTTAATATTATTTAAAGTGTATTATAGTCATTCATTACCCAACTATCTGAATAATAAGCTTTGAAACATCTTTAAGCAATGAAAAAGAAGCCGAGGTAATAACGACCAGACCAACAAAATAATAATAAATCGTTCTAGTCAATTAAAAATAAAAATCTAAACTATATAATATTATTATTTGATTCATTACACGTGGGGTGTTTGTGTAATGAATAATTTTAAGCCAATAATGCACTAATAATAAATAAGGTCTACTCAATAGATCTTAATAAAATAGGTTTTTTTTTTCATTAGCAAACTTTCGTATTGAAATAAAACAAAAATCTAGCAACAATTACAGGAATCAAGATAAGTGTCTCATCATAACAACATTATGCAAATAAACATAATACTTTCAACGATGGAACACTCAGTATAAAAAAATATAATATTATAGAACGGTTAGTGACCTGGTAAAGGTTTAAGCTCTTTTATTTGCCTAATAAGGTAAGCTTTTTCGTCGTTAAACTGTTCATCTTCGGCCCTGTCTGTGTGGAATTTCATTAGAAATTCAACCAGCTTGTCTTGGTTTCTCAATAGAATGTCCAGGATCGGTTTGGGTTTATTTGGATTGGCAACGAAAACCTCAAAAAGAAAAAATATATAGCAAAAATTTTTAGGTTTGTGTTTGCATTTACTTTGAAAACGTGGAAGGCTTCAAACTGAATATTTCTAGACCGTTCTTTTAGCATGTTCATCATAAGTTTTAAGTTGTCCGGATTTGAAATATATCTGGTCATTACCTGGAAAATAGTACATAATATAAATAGAATTATTATAAAAATAATGAATCATTGTAATAAGATTAATTTGCTGCAATCATCATAATAATATGGCTATTTATTTTTCTCCCAGGCATGATATCACCAATGCTATTGTCTTACTAATCTCTGATTTATTGTTGTAGTAATCTGATATTAGTCTCATCAGTGTGCTTGTTTTAGATAAGATTTTAAATATACTTACAGTAAAATTATGTCTATCCAAAAGTAATTCGCCGAGTAATTTTAAACTTTGGCGCCTTGTCACGTAATTTTCGGAATTCAATAGTCTCTGATAGTGATTGAACACTTTATCGTAGTTTGTTTCTAAAAAGTCGGCGCACAAAAGTTTATGTCTTGTTAGGAGTTCCTAGAAAATATGTTATTTTTTTATTATTGTCAGAATTGTTCAGGGATCTTACCTTGAATGTTGAAAATGCATCTGAAGCGATATCAAAAGTAGATACTTCGACGTAACGGAAAAAGTTATAGAAATCTTCAGAATACAACATGATTTTGGCCAGAGCCTCGTACCGGGCACATTCTCTCAACATCGTTCCGCAGTTTAAAGCTATTTCTTGGTGTTCATAGCTAGAAAAAAATAATTTTAGCATTTACTTAATTTATCTGAAAGCTAAAAATCAGTTTAGAATAAATTTGACTCATTAGCCAAAAATTAAATCAATTACCTATACATACAATGGAAACAAGTTTCTCCAATCTTTAATTTACCTAAATTGCTTTGGCATTCTCAATTAGAAAGTTCAATTATTGATGTTAATGAGTTATGAATCTTCTAATTAAAGCTATTGTAATTGAATTTCATATTGCGTTTCATAATATATGATTTTTTCATTGAGCTAAATATGATACAAGGTATGAAATTGTATCTTTCCAAGTAACAAAATGGAAATGCTTCAAACTTGCTTTAACACATTGCATGCTGCGTCAGGCATAACTGCCCGACAGTGATGTTTCTATTCAGGCCACGTCAGACATACAGGGTGACAATTTGAAAAGTAGCAATCGGAAAAAAGTCTTAGACAAAAAATACTATCCGGGAGATATCAAATACGTTTTATAAGTAATTTAATTCTCTATCAAATGGAACATGATTCGTTGAAATTGATCCAGGCGTTCCAGAGTTATGGCCGTTTTAATGAGACCATGTCAAACTAGAAAAGCCCCTTTTAGAAATTTTCTTTTTAATTTTTTTCCAGACTAAGAAAACATCCTAGGGGAGAATGCCAAATAGTTTTCCTGCTTGTTTTGACTTCCTCTATACACTTGAATTTTTGTTTTTCCAAAATTCGGAAAATTTTGATTTTCCATTTGGTGGGCTATAGAAGGGGGCCGAAAACTCCTGGAAAAACTGGAAATTGAAGGGGGAAAAGTGGGTTCCGACATTTGTCTGGACGTCTTCTATGACGTAGTGAAAGAAAATCCGGGAAATTTTTTGGCCGCAAAAAAGAAAACTCAACGATTTTAAAACTTCCATGTGGAATATCTCTGAAATGGTAAGTCGTAAAGGTAAGACCCAATAAGCTTTTTTGTAGATGTCGACGAGCTCTACAACCTGCCCTTGAATTTTTCGCCAAGACTTACCATTACAGAGCTATGACCGGTTGAAGTTGGGATTTTTGTCATTTTCAAGATATTATAGGCTCGGTTATAGGTATATGGCCAAAAATCAAAGTCAAAATTTCAAAATTTCAAGATAGCCCTTTAATAGAGGGGATCCCAAAAAGTCCCAAAACCAACTTTTTTCCCCTCAATTTTCCCATTTTCCAGTACTTTTCCAGTTTTTTTTAAATTAAATGCAACCTCTTGTAAATTATTTTTTTTTCGGGAAAACTATTCAAAGGAAAATTATGAAATTCTGGAGAGAAAGACGATAGTGAGCAGCATCATAGGACGATTTCAAAATTTTCCATTGAAAAATCATTCCAGGAAAAATTCTGGAAAATTGACTTGTTTAAGCAAAATTAGGGAAAATTCATCCTCTTACATTTTATTTTTTTTCTAAAAAACTGGAAAAGGAAAAATTGTGAAATTTTTGGAGGAAAAAGAGGAAAGTCAGGAGCCTATTATAGGAAAATTTCAAAATTTCTTAGAGAAGGAATAATTCTAGAAAATTTACTTTTCTCAAGCAAAATCAAGGTAAATTCACCATCTTATATGTATTTTAATTATTCTCTGGAAAACTGACAAAGGGAAAATTGTGAAATTTTTGCAGAGAGAAGAGGAAAATAAGGAGCTCATTATAGGAAAATTTTGAAATTTTCCAATGAAAAATCATTTTAGGAATAATTCTGAAATATTGACTTTTTTAAGTAAAGTTACGGAAAATTCACCTTCTTACAAATTAATTTTTTTCTGGAAAACTGGCAAAGGGAGAACTGTAAAATTTTTTCAGGAAAAAGTCGAAAGTGACGAGCTCATTTCAGCAGAATTTGAACAGTTTCCAGTAAAAAATCACTTCAGGTAAAAAATTCTGGAAAATTGACTATATAATATATAGTATATAACTTTGCTTCTGAACCAAATATCGACTTCAAATTTGTTTTATCTTGTTGGGAAGTCTTCAAACTATGATTTTTGAAAGTTTGAAGCTGCACAAATAATTGGCCTATTTTTGACAGCCTGTCAAAACAATTTTTCATAATATTTTCCAAGTTCAATTAAAAAAAAATGTCATAACTTTGCTTCCTCGTTTGCTTCTGAACCAAATATCGACTTCAAATTTGTTTTATCTTATTGGGAAGTCTTCAAACTATGATTTTTGAAAGTTTGAAGCTGCACAAATAATTGGCCTATTTTTGACAGCCTGTCAAAACAATTTTTCATAATATTTTCCAAGTTCAATTAAAAAAAAATGTCATAACTTTGCTTCTGAACCAAATATCGACTTCAAATTTGTTTTATCTTGTTGGGAAGTCTTCAAACTATGATTTTTGAAAGTTTGAAGGTGCACAAATAATTGGCCTATTTTTGACAGCCTGTCAAAATAATTTTTCATAATATTTTTCAAGTTCATTTAGAAAAAATGTCATAACTTTGGTTCTGAACCAAATATCGACTTCAAATTTGTTTTATCTTATTGGGAAGTCTTCAAATTATGATTTTTGAAAGTTTGAAGTTGCACAAAAAATTGGCCTATTTTTGACAGCCTGTCAAAACAATTTTTCATAATATTTTTCAAGTTCATTTAGAAAAAATGTCATAACTTTGCTTCTGAACCAAATATGGACTTCAAATTTGTTTTATCTTATTGGGAAGTCTTCAAACTATGATTTTTGAAAGTTTGAAGCTGCACAAATAATTGGCCTATTTTTGACAGCCTGTCAAAATAATTTTTCATAATATTTTTCAAGTTCATTTAGAAAAAATCATAGAATAAGGAAAAAATGTCATAACATTGCGGGAAGTCTTCAAACTATGATTTTTGAAAGTTTGAAGCTGCACAAATAATTGGCCTATTTTTGACAGCCTGTCAAAACAATTTTTCATAATATTTTTCAAGTTCATTTAAAAAAAATGTCATAACTTTGCTTCTGAACCAAATATCGACTTCAAATTTGTTTTATCTTATTGGGAAGTCTTCAAGTTATGATTTTTGAAAGTTTGAAGCTGCATAAATAATTGGGAAAAATGCGTTTTTTTGTTTAGTTTCTTCAATAATAACATTAATAAATGAATAAAAAGGCACTGGGAGCTGTCCTGGAAGTTGAAACACCACCTGAAACAAAGCCAAGGTTAATTTTTGGGGAAATTTCAAGTTTGAACGCCTATAACTTGGAAACTAGATAATTATGGATTGGAGGCGGAACCAAAATGAAGCACTTTTTGAGTTAGGAGGTAGCTACCCAACTACCCTAACTTATTATTTTTTTTTTAAATAAGAATCTACCTTGTGTTGTACATAGTTGGATAGCTCATTGCTTTCCCTTTACAGTCTTAAAGCAAAATCGTAAATTGTACAATAAGTTTTTGAGATATCGGTGTTTAAAAGTAAGCACATTTTGAAAACTAGTAATTTTGACTATCTTTGAGTAGTAGTAAAAGCAGTAGTAGTAGTACTCTATTTTATCTCTCTATTGTTTAGGGTTTTCGAGAAAATCGTGTTTGAAGTTTTGGACAAAATGTCGACCAAATCTCAACTTTGAAGCTAATATCCCGGAAACTTCACTAGTCACAAAAACTAATTTTGCAGGGCATATAGAGAATTTAATACTCTTTCCAATGATGTATAATTGTACAATGTCAACATTTCAAAAAATTCCCAAAGCCAAAAATGGGATTTTTTTTTGGATTTTATTTCTCATAGAAATTTTCAAATGTAATTAATGTGAGAGTTGTTTCTGACTAATTTAGACTCGCTCTATCGATTTATAAAGTCAGAATTGAGAAAAATCCAAAAAAAAAATGTTTTCTGTTTTCGGTACTTTTTCCTAAGGGTACCCTTTTTGAATTTTAATTTGCAAATCTTCTAACCTAAATATCTCGGTAATCAAGTGGTACCGGGACAACATTTTTAGGAATTGTAGCTATCAATAAAAGCTCCAAAATAGTGGTTCACTGAAATCGCTAGGCTAACATTTACGGTTTTTGATGAAATCGAATTTAAAGTTTTGGGCAAAATGTCGACTAAATTTCAACTTTGAAGCTCAATATCTTAGAAATTTCACAAGTGACAGCAAATCTCGAACAGGTGGTTTACCTCCTACCTTAAAGACCGGAAATTTTTTGTTGAAATAGAACACCTTGAGAGTGATATTTTGGAGAACAAGGACCATCAACTGTGGAGTACCACAGGGCTCAATTTTAGGACCAGTATTATTTTTGATATATATCAATGATCTTGCTGATAACTTTCCAGAGCTGAAGTTTACTATTTTTGCTGACTATACCAACTTTTTATTGAATAAAAAAAACTTAGATGATCTAAAAATCGATGGGGCGGACATTTTGAATAGAATATACAAATGGTTTACAGCAAATAAACTGGTCTTGAACGTAAATAAAACGTTTAGTGTACTATTTCAACCAAACAAAAAAGTGGGTGACATTTATATTCCAACAACAGGTGGAGAGGTGCGATCACAAGAGAATGTCAGATTTCTGGGAGTGCACATAGATCAATCACTTAGCTGGAAACACCATGTTGAATGCCTGAATAAATCTCTTTGCAGTGCTATATATGCGATAAAAACATCAAGATTAAATATTGGACGGGATGTGGCTGTAAAAGTGTATTATGCCTACTTCTACAGCCTCCTTCAATATGGTATAGAGTTCTGGGGAGTTTCCGTGGATGCAGGTAGTGCATTTTTGCTGCAAAAACGTGCAATCTTTTCTATTTCTCATCGGCAGTCATATAGAGAGTACTTCAGAGCTCATAAAATGTTTACATTAACAAACCTCTATATTTACAGAACTGCTGTTCTTATGAACAAGAAAAGAAATGACTTCCAAATGCACTCTGACATACATCAACACAACACAAGAAACAATAGCGCCATCATAACACCTCGGTTTGATCTGGAGGTTAATCGAAAATGTCCAACGTATATGGGAATAAAAATTCTGAA